AACAAAGTACAGAGGAACATGCTATTTAAAACATGTTTTTAAATCACACCACACACACGTCTATTTAAACAGGGATATGTGCAAAAATGTTAAATCCTGTGTAATATTAAATCAAGACAATAATTATCAAGCACCTTTGAAAAGGTAAAGGTAGACATTATGAAGCGTAGAGAAAAATGACATGTGTTTTTTTCCTTCATTGGCTTTTTGTGGTATTTAGCTTGTTTGCTTACAAAAACCACCCTCCAGCAACATTCGTGCAGACAGAGTAAAACATTTTTTTGGCTTTGATGGAATCCCCTTAGGTCAAATTCACCTAGATAATATCACAGTTACTACATAACCTGTTTGGGTTATTTTCAATAACATTGTAGAAGTACCAACAAAGACTATGCGTGATAATGTTAGTAACAACTCCCTGTAAATTAACCTTTAGAATATCTTCCTTTGCACGAAACGCCTACACATCCCTGCACAATATTTTTATTTTTTTTGAGACGATGAGCTTAGCAGGTATTTTTTCGTTTGCTTAATGACTCCTTGGCATTCTTTTGAAAATGGCTTACCATATTCTGCACATATTTGGAACGAAAACAAAAGGAAAGTATGTGGCTTGCACACTGTAAAAAACTACACTCGTTTGTACAGTAGCTTACTAGTTCACTTTTAGTTTACTCTTAATACTCTCTAATATGTGATAAGCTTGCGAGGAAATAAATCAACATACACTGTTAATCACCATTAACATGAATTCCATAATTCCATACTCAGTGTCTAACTGATTTTTTTTTTTAAATGTTATATTTAATAATATTTTTTATTTCTGTACTGAATCTTATAAATTCAAAATGCTACTACATTTAAAATGTATTACATCTGGTAAATGCTACTGCATTACTACAGTGTATTTCAATTATTTTCTTTTAATCTTTTTTTTTTTTTATATTCAATATTTTGCAAGATTTGTAGTAGTTGTTACAACACAATGTATGTATGTGTTTACCCTGTCTGTACATAGCAGTACATTTTAACTTTTCTCATGTGTGTGAGTGTAAAGTAGCATAGATACTGCTTAGATAGATAATGCCAACATCGTTTAATAAGCCAATTACTGTCAGATCTCTATACTCTGTTTATTTTAACCATTGTAGCCAAACAAATAGCATAGGTAAGTTAGAGAATTTTTCTGGTGGTGTTTTTTTTTTTTGCCCTACATTTTAAATTCTGTTTAGTGATTAATCCTGCTAGTCAAAAAACATTCTGAAATTGTGATTTCATTATTAAAGGACCACTATAGGGTCAGGAACACAAACATCTATTCCTGACCCTATAGTGAAAACCCACCATTTAGTTGGCTTGACCTCCCCACCCACTTGGCCCCCTCAGAATGGGTTAAAACTCACCTTATTTCCAGCTCTCCACAGGTCCGCCGGCGCTGACCATGCCTCCTTGGTGACATCATAAAAATTGCCGCTTTTTAGGCTATCCAATGCTTTCCCATGGGAATGCTTTCCCATCATACAGTAGTAGTCCCAGAAGACTGGAAGTTAGCGAATGTTGTGCCCATTCACAAGAAAGGTAGCAGGCAGGAGTCGGGCAACTATATGCCAGTAAGCCTTTCTTTAGTAGTGGGGACAGTAATGAAAACCATGTTAAAGGATAGGATTGTTGAACATCTAAAATCACATGGATTTCAAGATCAGAGACAACATGGGTTTACTTCAGGGAGATCATGCCAAACTAATCTTATTGATTTTTTTGATTGGGTAACTAAAATAATAGATCAGGGTGGTTTAGTAGACATTGCTTACCAAGATTTCAGTAAGGCTTTTGACAGTGTTGCACATAGAAGGCTTATCAATAAACTGCAATATTGTTTGGATTCCAATATTGTTGACAGGTAACAGAGGGTTGTTGTCAATGGAGTATATTCGAAGCTTGTCACCAGTGGGGTACCTCAGGGATCTGTACTTGGACCCATTCTCTTTAATATTTTTATTAGTGATATTGCAGAAGGTCTTGATGGTAAGGTATGTATTTTTGCTGATGATACTAAGATATGTAACAGGGTTGATGTTCCAGGAGGGATAAGCCAAATGGCAAATGATTTAGGATAAGCCAAATGATTTAGGTAAACTAGAAAAATAGTCAGAGTGACATTTAATGTGGATAAGTGCAAGATAATGCACCTTGGATGTAAAAACCCAAGGGCAGAGTACAGAATATTTGATAGAGTCCTAACCTCAACAACTGAGGAAAGGGATTTAGGGGTAATTATTTCTGATGACTTAAAGGTAGGCAGACAATGTAATAGAGCAGCTGGAAATGCTAGCAGATTGCTTGGTTGTATAGGGAGAGGTATTCGCAGAAGAAAGAGGGAAGTACTCATGCCATTGTACAGAACACTGGTGAGACCCCACTTGGAGTATTGTACGCAGTACTGGAGACTGTATCTCCAGAAGGATATTGATACTTTAGAGAGAGTTCAGAGAAGGGCTACTAAACTGGTTCATGGATTGCAGGATAAAACTTACCAGGAAAGGTTAAAGGATCTTAACATGTATAGCTTGGAGGAAAGACAAGACAGGAAGGGGGTATAATAGAAACATTTAAATACATAAAGGGAATCAACACAGTAAAGGAGGAGACTATATTTAAAAGAAGAAAGACTACCACAACAAGAGGACATAGTTCTTAAATTAGAGGGGCAAAGGTTTAAAAATAATATCAGGAAGTATTACTTTACTGAGAGGGTAGTGGATGCATGGAATAGCCTTCCAGCTGAAGAGGTAGAGGTTAACACAGTAAAGGAGTTTTAAGCATGTGTGGGATATGCATAAGGCTATCATAACTATAAGATAAGGGACTAATGAAAGTATTTAGAAAATTGGGCAGACTAGATGGGCTGAATGGTTCTTATCTGCCATCACATTCTATGTTTCTATGTTTAACAAAGATGCAGCAGCATGATTGCTTAGATGAGTAATTTTCTCAACACAGACAATAAATGTATGAGTACTGCTATCCTATGGCGAGAAAAATACTGGTTTATTGGCTAGTTCAGCAGAGACCTGCAGTTACACTTCTGTGGCTCTGATTCATTCTAGAGCACAGTGGAATATCCCACCCATAACCCACCATCATGGTCACCTCCATCCCCCTCCAAACATCACTTTGCCTACCTATAACTTCCACCCTCTCCATCCCCATGCCCATATATACACTTTGCCATAAACCACTTTGCCAACCTATAACCTCCACCCTCTCCATCAAGATGCCGATATATGGACTTTACTAGCCTCATGTGCAAATTATTTAATTTACTTTCTTATACCTCTAGCTTGTTGCTATAAGGGCTTCCAAACCTATCCAAGAAGGATGGATCTATGGTCCCTAGACCTTGAGCATTGTTAAGTTCAGGTATTCATGCAGAGATGGTCCTCCACCAATAACCCTCTGGAAATCCAAGATTTGCTTAACCCTCTTTTTCATCCTCAGACGCAGGTCACCTAAATCCATCTTTATTTTTTTATTTTTTTTCAAGGATTGTGCAAAACTGATTTACTCTAAAATGGACTCGGGGAGGAAGTTCATGGTTGGGTTTGATTGTTTCTAAGTTTGTTGAAGTCTGCTGAAGTGTTTATGATTTTTGTAGAACAGGGAATGCAATGGGCTCAATGTTTAAATGGTTAAGAAAAGAACTAGGTGGAGTATGTTTACAGGAATATGGGGAGTTGTGTGAAAAAATTCCAGTTTGAGGATGTTGTGAAAAGAACACTAAAGTGTTAGGAATACAAACCACATGTGAATCCAAGCTTCCCCATAGGAAAGCAACTGAATCCAAAAAATGGGTACTACCATCTTCTGTCTTCAGCTTCTTGTGTTCCATCCTCCAGGAGCTGCTTCAGTGCTGTACTCTTGAAGCCTCCATAGACTAAGTCTTGCGATCTGTGAGAAGCAGCCTAATTCCCACAGCCATCAGTAGCAACAGTGGGAAGAATTGATCATGACAGTGTCAGCTCTGACTTTTGTTGTCTTATGACCCTCAGCTTTAGTGGTCCCTACTTTACATTATGATGCATTATGATTACACTGGAATTTAAAAAAAAAAACAACAACTCAGTCAATATGAGTATTTCATAAACATCTTCGTGAAACACTCAATATTTATTATGAGGTGACAGAGCTGCTTTAAGCTTATTATGGACCAGGTCACTCACTTCCTCAGGATTGTTGCTTCAGAAATGTCCCATGGCCCACACATGCTTCTGTGATACAATTCTATACAGGACATGGATGCTCTCACTTTTTCTAGCCTAATTATGCTTTTGGGTAGAATACAACATACTATGTAACATTTTATTTTTTAATTTGTTTTTTAAATGACCAAATTTTTTTTTTTTTTATTGTATCAGTAATTGGGGTGAGGTGGGAATGGCGTAACAAAATAGAAGAAAAAATGCATGCAATATAGTACAGAATTAAAGTTTGTGGATAAAATTCCTACATCATTTAAAATAACCAAAGCATGTATTTAAAATAACCAAAGCATTACAGCTTCACACTCAAAAATATTTCTTTCAATTTGTCATTGTGTCTGGAATCACTACATTCCATAAATATCATTCCCAAAGCAAAGTCCTGTGTAAACAGCGTTTGTCTCAAGTTTGATCAGCTGTAATAATAAAGTTATGTATTGAGTCAGATATAAATATTTAAGCATTTACTTTCTGAAATATTTTGCCTATTTCTATATCACCCGATCTATCAAATGAAGGAAACTTCCTACAACAAACTGTATTTAGCATTGTATATTCTCATTTGGTATGGAAATGAGGGAGCATCACCTTGTAGATTGTCTCAAATCCAGGTGATGGTCAGTGAATATATGGAGAGAAAGGAACCAAGAGAAAACAATATAGTGTAGTATCTTCTGACAATTGGTTAAAGGAATATAAAAACACACAATTTTCAGGAGCTATAGAAAATTGGTTGTATAGGGAGAGGTATTAGCAGTAGAAAGAGGGAAGTGCTCATGCCATTATACAGAACACTGGTGAGACCTCACTTGGAGTATTGTACACAGTACTGGAGACCATATCTTCAGAAGGATATTGATACCTTAGAGAGGATTCAGAGAAGGGCTACTAAACTGGTTCATGGATTGCGGGATAAAACTTACCAGGAAAGGTTAAAGGATCTTAACATGTATAGCTTGGAGGAAAGACGAGACAGGGGGGATATGATAGAAACATTTAAATATATAAAGGGAATCAACACAGTAAAGGAGGAGACTATATTTAAAAGAAGAAAAACTACCACAACAAGAGGACATAGTCTTAAATTAGAGGGACAAAGGTTTAAAAATAATATCAGGAAGTATTACTTTACTGAGAGGGTAGTGGATGCATGGAATAGCCTTCCAGCTGAAGTGGTAGAGGTTAACACAGTAAAGGAGTTTAAGCATGCATGGGATAGGCATAAGGCTATCCTAACTATAAGATAAGGCTAGGGACTAATGAAAGTTTTTAGAAAATTGGGCAGACTAGATGGGCCGAATGGTTCTTATCTACCGTCACATTCTATGTTTCTATGTTTCTATGTTTCTATGTCCTGTGGTCCGATTAGACCAAGATAAACTTATTTGGTTCAGATGGTGTCAACCAGGTGAGGAGTACAAAGACAAGTGTGTCTTTCCTACAGTCAAGTATGGTGGTGGGAGTGTCATAGTCTGGGCCTGCATGAGTGCTGCCAGCACTGGGGAGCTACAGTTCATTGAGGGAACCATGAATGCCAACATGTACTGTGACTTACTGAAGCAGAGCATGATCCCCTCCCTTCGGATACTGGGCCGCAGGACAGTATTTCAACATGATAATGACCTAAAACACACCTCCAAGACAACCACTGCCTTGCTAAAGAAGCTGATTTTGCTGTTTGCCCCTAATTTCTTAAGTCAATCTCAAGTTAATATCATTGTGGTTCAGAATGTCCACAAATTCCAAAAAAGCTTAATTGGTGCTTGTCCACATTACCAAGATATTGTTAATGTAGCATTTCCACAATTGGATAAACTTGGTGTATCTTTCCAATTTACCATAAAAAACAATCGTCTTCTCCCAGGTGGAGGTTGGCATATGAGGTGGCACAAGTCCATAACGATCCCTCTCACCTGGTGGTAGCACTTTCCCTGAAAGAGAAAGTAATTGTGTGTCAAGATCAAATGCATTAATTTCCTGAGAAATTGATTATGTATTGATAATGATAGTGTGCGTGTATCTAAAAATGCCATTACATGGGTAAGTCCCACTTCATGTGGGATGGAACTATAAGGAACTATAAAGGCCCTCGACGTCCAAACTGCATAATATTGCATTGTCTGGGATCTGAAGATCTGAAGATTATCTAATACATTCAGAGTTTGTTTCGTGTCTTTAAGATGTGATGGGAGTGTCTTAACTATTTCCCTTAGGATATGGTCCATATAAGAGCCGATGTTTTGCAACAAATGTGTTCCTACCAGATACTAGAGGTCTTCTAGAGAGTACACAGTGTTTTTCGAATCTTCGGTAATGCATAAGAAGTGGATATTTTGGGGTTCTTGATTAGCATCAAATCATCTTCCTCCTTAGTTATCAACGCTGAAATAAAGGTTTCACTCAGGAGGGATTTAAGCTCCATCATATATCTTTTGATGGGGTCTGGATTTTGTTGTGCCATCCCTATGTACTGTACTCGGTCCATCACTTCTACATTGCCTCCCTTATCTGAGGGTTTAATGACTAATTAGTTGTTCTGGCCGAGTTGTTTAAGTGACTTTTGTTCAGGAGGAGTTATGTTACTGCTAATTATGTTACTGCTAGTTATGTTACTGTTAATGGTCTAAGTGTCAGATCATTTTTAGCTAGTTTTTCTATTTTTCCACATGTAAGTTTGACAAAAATATCTACATATTTGAACTCAGACAGAAGGGGCCTGAATTCACTCCTTTTCTTTAGTTTTGTGAATGGTGCTACCAAATTATCCATTTTGTCATTACTTGTTAGGAGATCTACCAAAGTATCTAATTAGGCAATATCCATAGCTTATAAGCCTCGATCTTTAGCTTGTTTCTCATCTCTTATACAGTTACATTTATGAAGAGCTAGTTTCTTTGCAAACAGATGTATGTCCTTTGTCCAGCTGGATTTGTCAAATTAAGGTACTGGGAAAAGGATAGACCCCTGCACAGGACTTATAGCTCAGAGGAGGATAAATCATAGAAGGCCAGATTGACAATTTGATTCTCAGTAGTCTTTAAAACCTTCTCCATGTGTTGTGTTGTGACATTGAGCGACTCCGTGTCCATAGGAGCTTATTGTCTACCATATTTAGTCGTCTTAAAAAAGACACTCCTTTTTCAAGGATGCTTTGGGGATTGAGGGACCATCTGTGTTTGAATTAGATTCTGACCCACTCGTCTCATATTCAGATGTAGAAAATTGATCAGGATGGATTCTTCTAGTTCTCTTAGTCCTCCTATGAACGTTACTAGTTTTAAAATATTTAGTGTCCCTAACAAATTTATGAATTTTAATAACCGATTGAAATTTATCCAGTTGATTTTTCAGTTTAATCTCAAGTGACACAAAGCTCGATTCCCCTTTAAATTTCTGAATCTTGTCAATCTCACCCTCAACTACCTTATTTACTTTTTATAGACTCTTTTTCTCAAATTTGCAGAGAATTTTAATCTGGATTCTGGATGTAATTTAGGAAATTGTGACTCTGGGAATATGGTTTGGAAGTAATGAGTTGGGGAAATATAACAAAGAATAGAAAAAGGCAAATGGCATAGGAGAGTAATAATCAGGGTGAGGGAGCCACTAGGGTCAATTATTTGGGAGAGTATGGCTTGGATAATGAATTGGGTGAAAATGGAAAAAGGGAAATGGCATTGATGGATATGTCACAGATATTTTTCAATATATTCTCACATGACTTAAAAATGGTAAAACAGCAAAATAGTTAATATCATACTAATCATTATTAGTAAACATTGTAAAATTATTTCCAGTGTCCTTGCTGATACTCATTTGGACAGCATGACACATTGCTAAGAACATGATTTTCTTAATCTCTGAACTTTAATCTGTATTCAAAAATAAACTTATGTGAGATTGCTCAGTGGGCTAATGCATCATCAGTAGAATCTGTTCAACCCTTGCAGGTTCAAATCCCGGCAGGGTTGACTGAGCCCTTCATCCTTCCGAGGTAGATAAAATTAGTACCATTAAATTGGGTAATAGTAACAACCCTTGGATGTTGGGCTAAGGTAACTTCCCCAGGACGTACTTGAAAACCAGAGTAATCTGAATGTACCTTTCCTGGTCAAATACTTTGTTATTATTGTATGGGTTTATATTTCAATTAGCATTGTGTGCACTGGAATATAACAGTTACAGGGTTATTCGTCAAAGTTACAATTTTCACAAATTACATCTGAAACTTATGAGTAAGTCTAAGTTATATAATAATTTTACAGATCAGTTATTTTTTTCCTTAGTTTTTCAATTTCTATTTATGTGTATACATGATTTCGTTAGGGAAGGAGTGAAGAAAAAGGTAAGGTTAAAATTTCTTTTGTTTCACTTAGTAGTGTAGCAATGCCTATCCCTAGCCCTTTCCAGCAGGCTCCATTGATCATTATGTTGATCAATTAAAAAGGGCTTAATGTTGCCTAAATAAGGTTGCATGCTTTAAAACAGTTTTGAAAACTCAAGGCTAACATAGTATATGTACAAGAAACACACTTGTTCCCTACACTGACTAATCATATTTACACGTGTACCTCCCCAATAGAAACAAACACAGATTTCTGAAGAAGTCCCTCTGTAATTTATGGAGGGTTGCTTAATCTTGGGAGAGGATTTCAATGTGACCCTTAATCCCATGATTGACACCTCTACAATCACCCTTCTACCTCTGGCCATATTACCTGGACAATAAGAAGGATCTTACACCAATAGAGATAGTAGATTGTTGGGGGGAGGGGGGCAAGCTTACCTCCAACAACACATAACCAACTAAAGGAACCTCTCACTAAGGAGGAGCTGACAGGAGCTAAGACATTTTAAAAGCCACAAAACCAAGGAAGTGTCAGCATTGTGCATATGCAGTTCATATCAGGAGTCAGCTTACAAACTCCTAGTTCATTGGTACAAAACTCCCCAACTCTTGCACGCAATCGATCCCTCACTAGATAGCTCGTGGTGGCATTGCAAAATGGCAGTGGGCGTTATATATTACACATCTGGTAAGAATGCTCTCTGATCAGGTCCTACTGGGAGAATACCTACATATTTATCCACAAATTTTAGATAGCCCCCTATCCTTTAAGCTGGCACCAATTCTACTTCATCACACAACAATATGGTCTTTGATATACAAATAAAATACCTGACTATTTGTATTTAGCCAAGGGGCTCATTCCTATATTTTGGAAACAAAACATATTGAGGAACTATGCAAAACCGAGGAACTTATTTTCAGCTCCTCAGGGCGTAGCCAAATGAATCTAGACATTTGGACACATTGGTTGCTCTCCATGGGAGAGCTGGGATTTCAGGCACTACTCAGTTAGTAATAAAAGGAAACAAGCACGAGAGGGAAGAAAAACAATCCTTTTGCTGCTGCATAAGGAGGACACCTGACACGAGTTTATAAAGTGGCTACTCATTGGAGGGAATCTAGGGGAGTTGTGTTTGGGATAGGAACTGTCATATTTGATGATGCATGTTAGCTCATCTCTATTGGTTCTTACTGTTGACTGCTGTTTTTACTGCACTGTCTGGAAGAACTGATAACTATCTTTGAAGACAACAATGTTATCTACTATGTGCTTCTTGCAATGGTTATTTAATCCATACTTTTCTGACTACAGAGTCCGATATTGTCAATTATTATTGAATCAATAAATTGGTGCGCAATATAAATTATATATCATAATCCATATAACAGTTCCAAGTAAAATATATATCATGCAAACAAATATTAAAGTAGAATTAAAGTGTACAAGTGATAACTTAAAAGTAAAACTCATAAAAACTGAGTCGCTATAGTACCACTCCAAACTGAAGGGCTCAGGGAAGTTTAGCTCCAATCCTGCTCAGTATACTGATAGCTTCAGTTAGCTCCATGGTCTAAGCTCTGTCTTGCAGGGACAGCTCATTGGCATCAGCTGCTCTTCTGGTTCTCAT